AAAAAAAAAAAAAAAAGAAAAAAAAGAAAGAAAGAAAGAGAACAAGCACTTCTGCTGCTGTTGGATATTCAAGGGGATTACCACAGGATGGTACATATACAAAATGTGTCTGTTTACATGCCCTGAAAGGCCCTCTCTAATCATTTCTGCCAACCCAATTAAATGAAGCAATATAACCTTAAGATCAATACCACCTCGTGTTAAGAACAGTAATAAATTCGCCATTACTTTATACAGTCTTCAAAATTTTCTATTCCAGCCTCTAAATATAAAAGAATATACAAAATCTTAGAAATGCATTTAATTCTTTTTTCCTCTTTTTTTCTTTTATTTTTTGGCTGGGAAGTCCAAGAAATGCATTTAATTCAAATAAATTTAGCTACTGCTTTTAAATTATAAAATCTTTCTTATAAAAAGATTCCTTATGAAATAAAATTATACTGGCTGGGCGCAGTGGCTCACGTCTGTAATCCCAGCACTTTGGGAGGCCGAGGCGGGCAGATCACAAGGTCAAGAGATCAAGACCATCCTGGCCAACATGGTGAAACCCCATCTCTATTTATAAAAAAACAAAAAAATATATTTTAAAAAATAGAAATAAAATTATACCAAAGTACAATCATCTGTTTATATTATCTAACTGAAACTTATCCTACAATGACAAAAAGATTTTCATACAGCAAGACTTTTAATGGCTAAAATCCAGAAACAACCAAAATGTCCATCAATAATAAGGAACCAAAAAATATATATTAGGGTACATCCAAACAATGGTATACCATGCAACATTTTGAAAATGAGGCTGAGACAGGTGGACGGAATTTGAGAAACACATCTCTACAAAAATTACAAAAAGTAGTTAGGCGTGGTCACACTCGCCTATAGTCCCAGCTATTCGGGAGGCTAAGGTGGGAGTATCGTTTTTAAGCCCCAAGGCTGCAGTGAGCCATGAGGGATCCACTACACTCCAGCCTGGGCAAGAGTGAGAGCCTGTCTCCAAAGTAAGGGGCTGGGGTGGAGGGGAATGAGGTAGGTCTCTAAGTGCTTAACAAGGAAATGTCTCCTTATATTATCATCAGGTGCCAAGCAATATTGTAGTATGATACCCTCCTGGGGAATGGAATTAAGGATGTAAAGGGTGGAGAATGAAGAAACAAGGAATCCTAACTTGATATACCTCTGCTGTCTGAATTTTACTTGATAGTCTTCTGTAATGTTTAAAAGTTTTAAATAACCTGAATGTTACTTTAATCATTTAAAAAGGAAAATGGGGGCCGGGCAGGGAGGCTCACGCCTGTAATCCCAGCACTTTGAGAGGCCGAGGCAGGCGGATCACAACATCAGGAGTTTGAGACCAGCCTGGCCACCATGGTAAAACCCTGTCTCTACTAAAAATACAAAAAATTGGCCGAGAATGGTGACGTGCACCGGTAGTCCCAGCTACTCAGGAGGCTGAGGCAGGAGAATTGCTTGAACCCGGGAGGCAGAAGTTGCAGTGAACAGAGATCGCGCCACTGTACTCCAGCCTGGGCGACAGAGCAGGCTCCGTCTCAACACGCCTGTAATCCTAGTACTTTGGGAGACTGAGGCAGGCAGACTGCCTGAGCTCAGGAGTTCGAGAGCAGCCTGGGCAACAAGGTGAAACCCCGACTCTACTAAAATACAGAAAAAAATTAGCCAGCCATGGCGGTGTGCGCCTGTAGTCCCAGCTACTCGGGAGGCTGAGGCAGGAGAACTGCTTAAACCGGGAGGGCGGAT